ACAAACCCTTTTATAGCCGGGCTACCATTTACTGTGATGAAACACTATTTCGACATGATTTGGTCTCCTAAGACTTCTTCAATCACTCCGGTTTCATTAGGGAACCGTAATGCCTGATGGTAGGTTGATGCCCCATGCTCTTCCCAAAATTATGTTGTAGGTGGAAGGGACCTTCAATACCCAAAATTCTACCTATTTTGTCATTGTTCCTGCCTTGACTGGCAGAATTATCTTGCCAACTGGCCATTCTGGCATCGAGTTGAAACTGACAAGAGGAGATGTTGCAGACGCCAAGTCTTTGTCCTTCAATTTTAGTTGCTTGAAGGTCTCATAGTACATTATCTCGCACGAGCTTCCTTGGTCAATCAGAATCCGCTTGATGTCAAAATTCTTGACGCGCAGAGTGACTACCATCGCGTCATTGTGAGGGCAATGTAACCTTGTTAGATTCTTATTAGAAAAAGAGATGATGTTCATTACCTCCGTTTTTTACCTTTTAACGATAGGTTGTGCACTTAGTACCTCCCTCAAGTGCTCAGCCATTTTGATCATCCCTCTAAGTTCACATACCCGTTCAAGTTCGACGATCCCATGTATTACGTTGATTGCGCCTTGGGGTGGACCGTTGACTGGCATCCCACTCGGCTTGCTGCGATCCTGGGGGGCTGGCTGTGTTCCCCCTTCTATATACTGGTCCAGGTGACCAACGGCCACTAACTTCTCCAGTTGCCTCAATGGTGTACAATTTTCAGTTCGGTGCCCCTTTTCATCATGGAAGATGCAATGGTACCTCTCATCGTAGCTCCTTTGTGCTTCTCCCAACTTGACTGGCCGCCGAACGAAGGGTTCATCGCGTATCTTGTTAAGAATCCGGTAGATAGGTTTGTTGAATACCGTGGTAATGGCAGTACGAACTCTCAACTTCCTTGTTTAGGGGTTCTCTCTGTTGGCTCATCTGCCTCGCCCATTCTTGCTCGGTTGTTCTACCGTGTTGACTTTTCCCGCAGTCTCTCTATCCGGCACTGCTGTTGTACCAGATTTTGCTTTAGCGCGGGCGCTATCTTCCTCTACCCGGATGTGCTGATGTACTCTCTCCATTAGGGCCTCCATTGTGAGGGGCGGCATCATCGTCATTGAATCCCTCAACTTGGTACCTGTCGGTAAACCCCGTTTATACTATGCGATGGCGAGATTTATGGGGCAATCCCCAATCTGATTGAAAATCTCCCAATATCGACTGTTGTAAGACTTCAACGTTTTTTTCTCGCCCATGTCAATAGAGAGTAGTTGGTCTATCTCCACCGGCGTCTTGGTATTTGTTCTAAACCTAGTCACAAATGCCTCTGCCAACTGCGCCCATGAGGCTATGTTTCCTTCTGGTAACCTTTCAAACCATGTTAAACCCAGGTCACCAAGGCTGGAAGGAAACAAGATACACATTAGAGTCTCGTTTCACCGATACACTGCCATAACGTGGCGAAAGTGTATATAGGGATCCGACTTTTCCTCATAAATAGTGAATTTGGGCTGATGAAAACCTGAGGGTAATGGTGCGTTCTCTATCGCTAGAACGAATGGCGAACTCTGTAACCTTTCTAGCGCTTTGTCAGCTGGTTCATAGGCAAGACGCGGCTCTGGCTTTCCAACCTCAATACTCCCATGCGTCCTAGGTGCCAATCGTTGTAGTGCAGAGACTCTGCGAGGGTCGCGCGCCCGAGTGTCTTCTCTCCTTCGAGCCCTTTCCTCAAGCACTGTCCGTAGGTCTGCCGACCTAAGCAACTCCGTGTGCCTAGACGTCGTTTGGTGTGAGTGCGAGGGTCTATAATTGCTTTCTTCCATGTAGGACCTTTCAGTCCTCGTTCTCTCAGACCTAGAGTAACGAGTCCTAGAAGTCCTTGATTATGTATCGCCTATCCTAAGGCTCTTACTTTCAGCTTGTAACGGTGTGACTTGTCTGTCACAATCTTCCGAGTGGTAAGAGAGTGTGTTGTCTCTGCGCCCTTCTTTCGTTGCCACTCATTTGTCCTTTATTTGGCGTTTCATTGTCTCTATGTCTACCGCTATTCTCCATATCAACTCGTCGTGCTCCCTTACGCGATCCTCCAGAACCTGTGGATCCAACCTTCGCCTTTGCCTTTCAGGGCTTTGAGAGCGACGAGAGCTTAACCCCCATCTCTCTCATATGTCTCTCCGCGAGGTCAGTTGCTGGGGGTCTAATTCTGCCATAGGTGGGACAAAAGGTAATCCTTCACGCCTCCTACCTCCCTCCGGGGTCTGTCCATCAATAGCAGAATGTGGTAAGTCTTCGTTGTGCGCTATTCATCTCAATTAAAGAGGAAGCTTGATCAAAATGTTTTGTTCTTTGTGTGTTTTCCCACAGACGGCGCCAATTATATGAGAACGAAAAAATTTTCTCGTATAATCCTGTTGATCAAGTTTGCACTCCTCCAAACGTCGTCGCTTTGCTGCCTGAAAACACAAACGTGAGCTAACCGGCGGGTGTGTACCAGAAACCCCTCAAATGCCTAAGCCAGCAACTAGACAATAAACAATAAGTTTTGTGTATTCTAGATTAAGAATTATGATACCTCTACATAGGTCCTGTCATGAGCTTTTATAGATTCTACCTGGCACAATCCTAGTAGGACTTCAACTCTCTTTAGCAGAATCCTCCTAAGAATCACACTTCCAAGAATAATGCCTATCCTGATAACTCCATACTCACTGTTATCCAAGTGAGATGGTTTTCTAGCTCGGTTAAGTCGATGTGACATTAACCGAGCCAACTTGCCTCTGCAGTGCTCTTAATAAAAGTAACGACGTACAAAGCTCTCGGCCGAGCTAAACGTAGCTCGGCTTTTATCAGGAAAGAGTACCTCAGTCGATTGCAAGGCATCCCAGCTGACCAGATCAATGTCAGCCGGTACCAGACTGAGCTACCGAAGCCTCTAGCACGGCCCACAACCTAGTCCTTAGCACGACCCAATTTATCCATATAAATTACCCTCTCAAACTCATATAGATATATATATATATATATATATCATTATTCATAATAATATGATACCACCATTATACTAAAAGTTTTACTCATCTCGGAAACACATGTTAATAAATCCTAATTTAAAATACTTATCTTTAGTATGCTTCTCAATAAACGAAATTAATGTATACAAATATTATAAAGGTCTTCTCAATGTAATATTAAGCAAGTTTAAAAATATTATACATTTCTTTTAGGGTAAATTACAGTAACCTCCCTTGAGGTTTGCCTTAATTACAGGGACTTCCCCTGTAGTTTCAAAACTTACACTAGCCTCTCTTACTTTTGAAACTAATATACAAAGACCCCCTTCCCGTCAAAAGAGCCTTAATGATGTTAACTTGACAGTGAAATTGACCATAATACCCTTCAACCCATTGTCTTCCACAAAGACGTAACCCACTCTGTATCATCAGCATCTTTCTCACTCTACTACCCATTTCCGCTATTGTCTTCCTCACTCTCTTTTCCCAAACCTCTCTAATCAAAAACCCAAAACCCAAACCAACAATAACCCCTCTTATACACACCCAAATCGCTAACTCAGCTTGTGATGGAACTCTCTATCCAGACCTCTGTATCTCCACAATCTACACATTAAATGCCCTCTTGTGCCAATCAAACACACACATGCACAAAGTGTTAAAGAATTCAAATTGGCAGTGTATACATAGATAATTCGACAATTAATTCAAGGGTTTAAGCAAAGAATCAGATATGTAAAGTGAGAGAGAGAGAAAGAGAAAAGGATATGAAAAAAAAAGTATGTTGAATTGTGGATCAAAGGACATGACTTGGCCTTCGAGCTCTTCTCCGAATGTGGTTTTGATTGAGAGAATACATCTCACTGTTATTTCTTCACCTTCGCCAATGATCGAATCCATGGCTCTCTCTCTCTCTCTCTCTGTGTGTGTGTATTTACTCAATCACAATTGTTTTGTGCTTGGCAAGAACATGTCCAACCCAAGTCAAATCAAGTACAAAGGTTCAAGACCATAACAAATCGAGATTGATGTTCTAGTTGATATGAGATATGTTCGTAATCCAGTCGAGAACTCTGCCGCCCTCTCGCCTCCTTAAGCCTCACATATTCTCCTCATTGCATCGCCACCATCGCACTCAACCACCACTGCGATCTCTCTGTTTCTCTTTCACTCTTTCTGCAACCGTCGCAATCGCTATGATCGTCATCGTAATCCGCTATCACTGCTACCTTCACAATCAGATCGCAACCACCGTGACGCCAAGCTCCTCAGATCTAGGGTTTTTGGTGGTTGTGGCGGAGATGGTTGAGCTGAGAGAGAGAGGAGTTAGGTATGGGGAGGAGTTCGATGTATGGTTTATATATATATATATATATATATATATGTATGGGGAGGTAAGGGCAGTATTGGAATTTAAAGAATAATTTTGGATGACATCAGCCAAATATGTTTGAATTTGGACGGGTGGAAACAGAAGGGGTTATTTGTATATTAGTTTTAAAAGTAAGAAAGGTCTGTGTAATTTTGGAAATAATAGGGGAGATCCCTGTAATTAAGGTAAACCTCAAGGGAGATTAAGTGTAATTTATCCTCTCTTTTTTTTATTACATTTCCTTTTATGTATAATGTAAAATCCTTTACAAAAATTTAAAAATATTAGAGAGCAACCTTGCCATTTCTCAAAAAAAACAAACAAGATGGCGATTGTATTAGAATCAATTCTGTAAGAAATTGCTTCAATTTAGGGGGTTTTTTATTTTTTATTTTATTTTTTTAAATGCTCTTAATGGCGTTATTCTAATCTAATAAAAAATTTTGCCCTTCAAAATATGACATTATAAACAACACATCTAATAAATTTTGAGGATACTTATCCAAAATATATATATATTGAGGAAAATGCCAAAATCCAATCATCAATTAAAGCTTAAGCTTCTAAGCTCAGGAGGAGCCATGAGAAGAACAACTCTAAAGAGCAGCAAGCTGACAAATTAACTTAACAAGAACTCACCAATTGGTAGTTCCTCAATATGTTTGTGACATAAACTATAAGTGTGTATTGATCTTATTATAAGTGTGTGAACAGATAACTGTCATTATGTTTACATTACCTTCTTTCAGCAAGACAGACAGAGAACTTCCTTCATACAGAAGCGAAAAGATTCATAAAGTTAAAAGAGTTCCAACTATGTGACTGAAACATAAGACTCAGCGTAGGGCATGGTTGTAGTCATGGTAACGGAAATTTTTGTAGACAAAGTGAGCCAACCACCTCGAAGCCACAAAGCTTAGCACTGCGAAGAAGATGAGAGTATTCCTTGCAGCTGCTGATAGCATATTCTGCTTAGCTGCAGCAACAACCCCAATAGAAGCAATGGACATGACTTGCAGCACGACCTCAAGCACGTTGAGACCTTTATATGCGACATTGCAACTGCGGCAATTCACCACATGGGACCAATACCTGAAAAAAAAATTCTCAAAACTATGAAGTTGAAATCATGTACCAATTTGTTACTTGGGGGTTGGAGTAGCTTCAGACGTTGTCCAAAATTTTCCTTTCTTGCATCTCAGCAAGTAACAATTAAACAGAGCACTGATCTTGAATCAAATGTTCCCATGGCTTCCATTAAGTTTGTAATATTGCAATATTACTTTCTCAATTTTACAAAAATAAAAAAAATAATAAATGAGTCTGTTTCCTCTATTGTGCTGTACAATGTTACATTACCTGTCCAATAGCTGTTCTCTAGGAGGAGTAGGAGGAAGGGCTCCGCTGAACTTGGTTCCCCAATCAACTTGACCACCTGCATACTTGTTTAACCACCTTCTAAAACTAACGACTAGGGCATCTGACTTTGTCGGAACAAAACAAGCCTTTTGCCAATTGGAAGGGCCAATGTCCATTATCTTTCGTTCCTATGGCAAACCAAAAACAAAAACAAAAACAAAAAAAAAGAAGTCAGAAAGTGCCCACTAAATGCCATAAAATGTTGCTGAGGCTATATTTGATTTACACAAGGATATGATCAGACAATTTTTATGGAATGTGGAGTGAACAAATTCTGCCTTATCTCATGAAATTATTTCTACAGTATTTGCTGGACAATTCAGCACTACTGATAGCTGTATTGCAAGCTAAGCTTCGTGAAAGCAATTTTTTCTGCTAGATAACTTCAGTACCAAAAATGGAATCAGTTAGCATATACAAAATTCGATTTAAGTTCCATTGGCATTCAGTATGACAAATTTGAGCCTAAAGAAACTGTAATCAATTCAGAGCCTACCTTTTAGTGACACTAAACCACCTTATGGCGGTGCTTGTAGTCTAACTGTTAAATTTTTCATCCAAACTAACAGCGCGTGAGGATACAGAACAACACTAAAAGATATTAAAAAGACATTCCCCCCCCCCCCCCCCCCCCCCCCCGCCCCAAAAAAAATATTATTTTCTTTCCTTTTTCTTTGTTCTCTCTACATTTGTCCCACCTGTCTCTCTCTCTCCCCTGCAACTCTTTTATCTGAATCTATACAACACATTTGCCATCTCTTTCTCATCCTTGAAGCATACCCTCTCCTCTAGCCACCACCAAACCCTCCGCCCCCACCTCTCTCTGCCACAACCCAGCATCTCCCACAGCGTCTGTCAATCCCTCACCACTGCCACCATCTTAGAGGAAGAGAAGTCCATGCTGCCCAGCCAAATGAGCAAAACACAATTTGTTTCTGTCTCTCTCTTACTGGTAGAGGCTAATGGCTGTGGCCATGGGTTTTAGAGAGAAAAAGAAAAGAGAAGCTGGGTCTTGCAGCATTCAAATGCTAGGTTTTACAGCATAGAACATTCAATTGGTGATTTGAAAGAAACAGAAAAAAAAAGGGGAAGTATTCCTCTCAGTTGACAAAGAAAGATACAAAGAGAGAGAAAAGCATAGAAGAAAAAAGAGGGAAAGAAGGTATGTGGCGGGTGATTGTGATAATTGGAGAAGAAGGGAATGGAAAACATTTCCGGGTTATTGTTTTTTTATATTTTCTGTCACAGCCGTTGATTTTTGCAATTAGGTAGCCACCTCAAGGGGGGTTTAGTGTCACAAAACAAACGATTGGAATCAAGGCTTTGTTCACCTGATTTGAGTTCATCAGTTGTACTTCTCCCATAAAAAATATAAACATAACCAGTTGTGCGTTATCAGCAGTAACTCTGCTAATTTAGATTATCTAATTTGGCCCCGCAATGTAGTAGTCATCCTAATCATCACAGGCTTATACATTTCAAATCTATAATTCTGACAAAGAAAAGAAACAAATAAAATTAACAAGTTATGTTGATGGAAAACAATCTTTTAAATATACAAAGAGAGAAAACCCACCTCCAAATGAAGAAGATACAAATCCGAATCTAGAATTAAGTTTTGACCCACATGGAACATCCATCGTGGAACAACTCGATCAATCCAAACTCCAACATTTCTAGGAAAGGTCCATATCAATCTGCTATTACCCGGACTAACTGGAATGCAGATAAAAATTAGAAGAAATCTTCGTTGTGGCACATTTGACGATGGCTCCTGAACATAGGTACAAATGTTAAGTAACAAAACAGGTAAAAAAAAATAAAGTAAAGAAAGAAAGAAAGAAAGGAAAAGAAAAATGAAGAAGTGAAAACACAAGTTTTGAATTATTAATAGAAAGAAAAAAAATGAACACAAAATATCATTGATCAACTTGATTTAATAGCAGATAAATCTAATTGCCTCTTTGGTTCCAGCTGATGACACGGATCCATTAGTTTGATCAGCCACAAGAGGGGTAAATGCACTAAAAATACAAGGTGCGACAAATTTGCTATGACCCCATTCCTGTCTTGCAAAGAAACCATTGATGTCTAGGTTCTTTACACTTATTTCCAGTGGTCGCCCCCCTTCTCTATCAGCCTTAACAGTGAAAGAAACATAGTCTCAGCCAAGTGTACTTTATGAATTAAAGAGAGAATCATACATTATAACTTAAAAATTCAATGTAGAGTTCTTATCTGTTCTTTCGTCGTGGAGTTTGCATTATTCCATAATGTGCATATGGAACATGAGCTGGGTCCATAAGATTTTCAATCAAAACCTCATACCTGAACATGAGTAGGTTGCATAAGATTTTGAAGAACTCAGCAGAAATTGGCATTGAATATTTTAGTGAAAACTTAAATACTACTTGTCTTAATGTTCAGAAGTTTTGCAGAGATTCAAGCGGAGGATGAAAAAGAAGAAGAGAAATAGGTCTATGATTAGTGCTAAGTTCTTATTTTCCTTTCCTCTTTCTTTTTGGGGTACTTTTTCTTCATAATCATAATCTGTTCGGAATAACATTAACCAATCAAACAACTACTATAAAGAAACATTTTATTGTCTCCGCTACTTATTTCTAAAGTTTCTTTGCCCCCTTATGTACCAGAAACCGCATTACGAACATGAGACTGGAATCACTAGCAGTACATAGGTTCTGTTTGAAAACAAAAAACACAAGAAATGTGGTTGACTTTATGTCTGCATACCCATATGGTATCTCTCTATTTCCCATCAACCTGGTATATGATGGGTCATCCAGTTCTGGTATATATGGGGGTTTGTTCTTTGAGAGGATATCTTTGTATTGAGGATCAGAGTTTGGCCAAAACCAAACGATGTCATTTTGAACTGTACTTGGATAAGCAGCTACACATGCTTTCTTGAATGTGTGAACCTGCACATTTTGTTGGAAGATCAGAATGTAAGAAACTACGTTAATATGTAGAACATAAATTAAATTTGGTGAAGTAAGATGATAAACCAGGCAAGATATTCAGTTTAGACTTGAATAATGTCAGATCCAAGTTTTTAAAAAAGTCACAAAAATTGACAGTTGTTCTGGAAAATTGACGAAACAGGAACCTAAGTTGGAAGATTGTTTCGAATTTAGCTGATATTGTTCCAAACTGCATGAAAGTTATGAGATCAGCATATTACATCCCACAGCTCCATTATTTCCTGTCACCAAAGTAAAACAGCTCCATAACCCCTTATATTGAACAAAAAGAACCTACTGTGATAAAGATTCTTCAGCACAAATTGAATAAATTATTGGGGTCAGGCTAAAGACAAGGTGAAGAAAATGCCAAAATATTTAGAATTCTAGTGCACTTTTTTAACATTATGAAACATTCCCACGCTTTTCACATATTTTTATATACTTTTTGACACATATGTCAACGCTAATGACAACTACTAGGCAGTCAATAGCATTTCCCATCATGGATTCCCAAACATATTAAACTAATCCTCCAAGGCTCACAAGTTAAAAAATGAGCTAAGGATATTCATATTCTACAAGCTTCAGTTTTCTTGCCAAATGGACCAAACTAAACCCTAAATTCCAAAGTCAAACGGACCAGTGTCCCTTTGGCCAGAGATAGTATAGTAAACATGACACAGGCAGAGTTGAATAATATTAAGAGATAGGAGGGAACAGAGGCAGAGCCACATTGAGACCAGAGGGGGGGCCCCCTCTCAATTTTTTTGAAATTTAAACTTTTACGTCTAATTGGAAAGGGTTTTCAATTAACTCCCTTGAACTGTTACATATGTCCCTAAATCTTTATATCTCATCTTTTCTTTCCAATAAATTTCCTAAAATTTGCCACTATAAATGCTTAATTTTATAATCCAAAATCCTAGCTCCACCACTAGGAGGGAAGAAGGTCAGTCAGAATCAACACATGCATAGCAAAAGTTCACTAAGGAAATAATTTAATATAATCCAAACAATGAAATTTAATATAATCGAAGCATATATAGTGGTAATAATAATTAATAGAGAGTGATTATACAGGAGGACCATCTGGGGGTGCCTGAGGAATGAATTTGCAATCACCAGAGCCATTGAAACACCAACCATGATACACACATTGCAATCTCCCCCACTGATCAATCCTTCCTTCAGATAATGGAGCCAACCTATGAGGGCACATATCATCAAACACCTTCCATGCACTCTCATTCCTATCCCACCACACCACTACATCGAGACCCATCACTTTCTTTGCGTGAGGGACCCTCTTGTCAAGATCACAGACCGGCATAACCGGATACCACTGTGCATACCAGTCGAATTTCTCTCCTTGGCTGTCAATTTCAACTTGTTCTTCAGTTGGGTCGGCGAATTCAGTTGAAACAGTCGAAGAAGAAGATGTAGCTGTAAAAAGCCTGAATTCCGCTTTGTTCTTGTGGATTGAGGAGAGAGATGAATTGGATAGTCGTTGATTGGATGATGGAAGATGATTCAACATGGGTTTGTCAAGTTGGATTCTGGGTACTCTTGTTGGGATTGTTGTGAATTGAAATGAAGAAAACGAGGAAGCTAGAGCTTCCATGGCAGCTTGTTTTTTAGAATATAGATCAAGGTTTTGATTATTGTGTTCCAAGATCAAAACTATAAATGTAAGAGTGTGGATACAGAGAGAGAGAGAGAGAGATAGATGACAAGGTGAGTGAATTGGCTTTGTGGATCGAAATTAACCAACAAATTTGTAAAAATAAAAATTGTAGTGTATATTTATTGGGCAAATTACATATACACCCCTCGAGGTTTGGCTAAATTACAAATACCCCTGAGGTTTGAGAAATTACGAATTCCCCTCTGAATGCTATATTTGCATAAGAAATTAGGGGGTAATTTGTTATGAAATATAAACCTCAGGGGGTAAATTGTTATGAAAATACAAACCTCAGGGGGCGGGATGTAATTTCCGAAACCTCAGAGATATCTGTAATTTAATCAAACCTTGAGGGGTGTATATGTAATTTGCCCATATTTATTTGGTTCAAAAGCATATGTAGTCAATCACAAGTTGAAGTTATTGAGGGGAGGCGTGAGGATGGTTCATTTTTATCCTTTTTGGCGGGACCTTCTAAATGGATTGGATTGTATGGCTGTCATTGGTTGGTTGGTTGGTTGGTTGATGGGTCCCGGATAGCCTCATCAATGATGCAATTCCCAAAGTGCTCATACCTGTCCAAAATACCGTTTAATTTTTACTGATTCGCAATGTGTATTTAAAATTACAGCAATGGAACAGACCCCAGTGTAAATAACTTTTAGTGACCTTTCAGTGCCACATGTTGACTTGGAATTAGGTGAAAATTAAAAAAAAAAACTGTTTTTTCCCTCCAGCATCCCCAATGAGAGTCCGAAGCTTTATTCTTAAAATTACAGCGCTGCTAAATACCTTCAGTGACGTGGCGGATCCCCATTCATTAAAAAAAAAGAAAAAAAAAAACAATTTTTTTTTTTGGCCAATGGTGTCTCTACACGCACGACCCCCAATGACCCCCACTGGGGTTCTTAGACATTTTTCTTAAAATTATTCTGTTTCAATTAATAGATATATATTTTTTATTTTTAATAAAATATTAAAATAAAAATTACGTTCGAATTGTCAAGCTCGAATGTCTTGATAATTCCTCTCTCTTCCGTTCTTTCCCTTTTTTTTTTTTTTGTGTGTGTGTTTTTTTTTATTTGTTGGTGTTGGTTTGATTGTTTTTTTATTTATTACTTTTAGAAGGGTGGTCATGTGGAGAGCTATGTCAAGAAATTACGCATTCCGTACTAATTTAGCCTAAGTTGAACTGGGTGGATAACAAAATTGATGCCTCGACAATTCTTCTCATCTCCTCCTCCTCCTCCTCTTCTTCTTCTTCTTTTTCTTCTTCTTCTTCTTCTCTTTTTTTTATTTTTTTATTTTTTTATTTTTTTATTTTTTTATTTTTGTTGGTGTTGGTGTTGGTGTTAGTTTGTTTTTTTTTTTTTTTTTATTTAAGGGTGGTTATGTGTAAAGGTGTGCCAAAAAATTAGACATTCCACACTAATTCAGCTTGGGTTAGACTGGTTGCGTGATAAAATTGACTGATCAGTTAAGTTGCTAGTTAAAATTTGTTAATTTCATATAATTTTGTACGAATCCTACTAATTGAAATAAAAATATAGCAGGGACTTGTACAAAATTATATGAAATTAACAAATTTTAACTAGCAGCCTAACTGATTAATCAATTTTATTATCCAACTAGTCCTACCCCGTTCACTCACCTTATCAAACCACACAGGCTGAGTTGGTGCGGAATGTACCAAAAAATCATTACAGCTTATTGTTTTTCCCAAATTACTCTCAATGTAAACCCAAATAATAAATAATAAATAAACTAAAAAAATTAAATTATTTCAAAAACTTTTCAATACAAAAAATAATTCTTAAATACAAAAAAAAAAGAAGGCCAAACTTGTAAGCACATAAACATTATAAATACAAAAAAAAAAATCAAACTTTTACATAAGCATTATAAAACTTTTCAATACAAAAAAAAAATTACATTATAAATTATCAATAAGAATGCTCATGGAAAAGTAAAAACCAAACTTATAAGCACAAAAGTATTAGACACTAACAAGAAAAAGTAGTTCTTAAACAATGTACTATTTAAATGACAAAATAAAAACAAGGGCGAATTATAATAATGGTTCCTATAGTTTGGGGCTTCTGTCACTTTGGTCCATGACTTTTCAATTGTGACACATTAGATCCTAAATTTTGAATCTTGTTCTAAATAAGGACAATTGAAAATATCATTGCTCAATTTCAATAGCAAAATCGTCAATTTGATAAAATATAAACTAATCTAACAAAAATAAATATCAAAAAAATATTTTTGAATTTCTAAAATAATTTCTACCCACTAAAAATAAAATTATGTAAAAGTGATAAATTTTTTAGATATTTTTTTATACCAAATTAATTTTTATTATATGTTTGGATGATAATCATATAATGGGTGATTATTTTTATTTTCATAAAATTAGTTTCTATTTTTTCAAAAGTCAAATATGGTAACAACTTTGATATCATTATTAAACCAATCCATTAAATAAAAAAATTCAAAACTAAAAACATTTCATATATTAAATATATTGATTACACATTAAAAGCCTAACAACCACTCATTACATGATTATCATCCAAATACATAAAAATTAATTTGGTAAAATAAATAAATGTCTAAAAAATTATCAATTTTACATAAATTTGTTTTTGGTGGACCGAAATAATTTTTAAAAATTCAAAAATATTTTTTTGACATTTATTTTTGTCAAATTAGTTTATATTTTATCAAATTGATAACTTTGCCCTTGAAATTGAGAAATGGTATCTTCAATTGTCTTTATTTGGAATAATATTTCAACTTCGATGTCAAATGTGTTACAATTAAAAAGTTAAGGAAGAAAGTGACACAATTCCCAAACTATAGGGACTATTAGTGTAATTTGCCCTAAAAACAACTCCAATAATATGTTATTGTTAATCTAACTACTAGGCCCTTTAATTTTTGTCCAAAAAAAATACATAAAATAATTGATGGTAATCTACAAAAATTGTGAAACTCTATGAATACTACCTCCTTTTTGATGGGTTGCTTCAAAAAAATATTTTGATTATTACTCTCATCCATTATTTGATTTTGTTCAATCTAGGGTTAAGGATTTCAAAATAATAAGAAACTATGATGTTGATGATGATGGTGAGATTTGGTAGGGTAGATTAGAATTTTGGAGGGAGGATGAAGAAGAAGAAGAAGAAGAAGAAGAAATAACATTGATCTCTTAGATAAGAAAGTACAAATATTTAAATATGAATAATTGATTAGGCTGTACCATGAGGGAAAAAAAAAAATTATTTTAGGATTTAATAGGTGTTATCCTTATTAGTAAATTCATATTAAAATATTATAAGAATTTAAATTTATGAATTTAAATTAGACGTGCTGAGACATATTTTAGATTCAAATCCTTAATTTTTTGGCACATCCTTATACATATAACCACATTTCCCCCCACACACATACAAAAAAAAATAAAGGGGAAGTCGAGGCCCCAAACATTTTCCTAAAAATTAATGTAAGAGATATTTGAGATGTGAAATTTCATACAAATTAATGTTATATATATATATATATATATATATAATTATGTAAAATCAGTTAGTATTATATATATAAATATTATGTAAATTAATATTATATATTATAAAAGTGTTTGATAATTGTTTAAAGTTGGGAAATATTATGGTGCACACCCTTCAAAGGGTGTGTAGCGTATGTATCTTATAACTAAAAAGAAAAATGACATAATTTTAATTTTTTGAGTCATAACTGAAAAAAGAAAAAATATCATAACTAAATACAAAGAGAGGCATAACTAAAAAATTCATGAGTTATAACTAAAATAATATCATAATTAAAGAAAAAAATTAATCATAACTTTAAAAAAATGATATAATTAGAGATATATATATGATACACCATTTTTAAAAGAGTGTATATTAAAATTTTCCTTTAAAGTTATTATTTAATCAACTAGTTGGTTAAAACCATTCAAACTGCTGTTTGATTACGGATAACAAATTAATCAATGCTATCCACATTTTGATTTTTTATTTTATCCTCAAATCACACTGGGCACCCTCCAATTCCACTCGCTCTCTAAACTTGTATTAAAATAAAAAATCACATTATTATACAAACATGATTTATTTATTTATATATAACATAACAATCAAAGTGAGAGCTTTAACAAGCTGAATTATTTAGATCAATTCATTTAATTAAGAAACTTAAATTTAGATTCGAGATTGAATCAAATCTCAAATATATAATTTAGTTGAGCTTGAATGAGTTACGTCAAGTTGAATTTATTTAGTTTAAGATCAGCTCATTCAATTATCCTAACGTGCTTATATTAAAAAACAATTGATTCTTAGAGACCTGTTTGTCATAGGAAAATTATTTTCCTGAAGACCTCAAATAGTTATTAAACTTCCATGACTCGAAAGAAACATTAGCCTGAATAGATAGAAAGAGGCTTGTATGTTTACACAACTCAAGGACATGTTTTCAAAGCAGCAACACCAGCAAATGTAGAAGCAGCGGTTTTACATAACTACTCACAACTTATTGTTCAATGAATCATAACCATCACACACACACCTCTGCTTTTAAGTTCACTATTTTTTTTTCTTTTTTATTTTTTTGGTTGAGTGAAATTATTCCATTGCAATGTCACAACATATATTAACAATATAGAACAGAATGCAGAGAGTACTAAAACTATGCAACCACAAAAACAGATTCTGAAAAGCAAAACCCAAAAAAAAAAAATCCTTTTTTTCATTAGAATGCCAATGATGCTTACACAGTTAAGAAGATTTTACACATCCAGTGTTCAATCAAGAAAAAAAAAATTGAACTCCTGGGCATTCCTACATCCTAGTCAAAACCCCAAGGTGCAGAACCTGAAACAGTAAGAAATCCACGACGACTCCATATTAAAGTCACCTTACATTTAAGCTTCTTCCTCTAACTCTGATATGGCTCGATTGTCAATCTGATTCTCATGTCTCGATGGGGGCCTATCTACTGAAAGGGTACCTTCTAATACCTTAACCACTTCCCCAATTGAGGGTCTTAAAAATGGTTGATTTTGCATACACCACAATGCTATCCTAACCACTCTCTCCACTCCTTTCCACTCCTCACTGGCCTCAAACTTTTGTGCTCGGTTCAAATTGTCGATTATATTATCCAGATTATCTCCCAAAATATCCCTCTTGCATGTAACAATTTGCAGCAACATTTCTCCAAGCATGTAAATATCTCTCTCTGATGGAGACTCGGAAGTAGAAGAAGAAGCTGCTTCCTTTTGGAGCAAGCTCCGAATCCCCCCAATTGAGGGTCTCAAAAATGGTTGATTTTGCATACACCACAATGCTATCCTAACCACTCTCTCCACTCCTTTCCACTCCTCACTGGCCTCAAACTTTTGTTCTCGGTTCAAATTGTCGATTATATTATCCAGATTATCTCCCAAAATATCCCTCTTGCATGTAACAATTTGCAGCAACATTTCTCCAAGCATGTAAATATCTCTCTCTGATGGAGACTCCGAAGTAGAAGAAGAAGCTGCTTCCTTTTGGAGCAAGCTCCGAATCCCAAAACCAGTCAACTTTGGAACCAATTTCTCATCAAGCAAGACATTCTCGAGCTTCAAATTCCCGTGAGCAATGCATTGTTGACACTCTGAGTGTAGATAAGCAAGGGCATGAGCCACTCCAATAGCAATATCAAGCCTTTGTTGCCAATTCCCTTCATTTTGGTCCCGTTTAGCATTAAAAAGCCACTTATCCAGAGAGCCCTTCCGGATATACTCATAAAGTAGAACTTTGTGTCTTGACTCAAAACAAAAGCCTTTTAGAGGCACAAGATTCCGGTGGTGGGTCCCACCCAAGGTCGAAACTGCCACTCGAAAATCCTTCTCCAACACAATCACATCGTTCAACACCTTAGCAATCACTGGTGCTTTATTTGGTAGTATGCCTTTAAAAGTCGAAGAACCAAGCTGATTTGCAAAGTTGTCGGTTAGCTCTTTTACCTCTTCAAAAGATAACCGGATAAGAACACTGTAGTGAGGGTTCATCTGTGCATCCTTCCCAAAGGGAATCCTAGCCCGTGCCTTAACTTGCCTTCTGTGATATATATACCAAACCACAAGGATTTCCAAGGCCAGGGCAACCAAAACAGTCACCAAAACTATTAAAACAATAGCTTGAATAAATTTCTTGATGTTAACTCTTTGAGCTATGAATCTACCAGATGACATTGGCATTGATTCTGCATTACCATTGGGGTTAGCTCCTCGAGTTGCAACTGCCTGAGGAACCGAACATACCTTCAAGAATGAAGTTGCGGGAACAGATGGACTGCTGTAACCGCTAATAAAGCTAGTTCTTTTGATTGTGCAGAGACCCGAACCATCGTTCTTTGAAGTTACAGCGATGCAAGTAGTGTCGTTGAAGCAGTACTGTTTGCAAGCTTTCTCATTCAACATCATATCAACATCTTGTGGGGGATAAAGACCATACAGTACAGTTTGTCTCAAAACCGACATGCTTGTACGCATCTTGCAGTTTCCCAAATCCACCATCTTCTGGCACCCAGAACCACTTGAATCCGCTGCAGGGCCACCAGTTAATGAATCTGAGTACAGGCAATTACAAACAGGTCCTGTGAAATTGTACCCACACACGCTATATAAACCGCAAGAACCAAACACATCACATTGGTCCTCAACTGCTTGCCATCCTACTCTCCATGTATGAAGCACATTGTCCCACGCATAAATTCGTAAATTCCCATCTGAATCAATCCTAAGATGCCTCAAAACCACATGAGGGTCTCCGACATCTGTACTTGATATGGACCAGACAGCCTTGTTGGTATCATCATATAGCCCCAAAACACCATTAGCATCAAACCTTGCTTCCTTGACAATGGAAGAGGTGCTCAAATGACTCCTCCAATAGGTCACATTGCTTTCCCATACTAGAGCTAGCTCCCCAGACCGACGAATCACAAAACTATAGTAGCTTGAAACTGATTTTGTTGAAGGGGCTCTAAGGTTTTGAGGAAAATGGAGAGACTGACTAGGAAGTAGAGTATTTGTAGGGCTATTGAAGCTCTCCCAGAGCACCTTATCTCCAATACCCATAAGAACCAAATTACCATTATTTAAAAGACTAGCTTTTTGGACACCCAAATTGGAGGTATTACTACTCCAAACAATCACACCATTTGGGTTTTCAAACAAGACCAGCCTCCCATCCATGGCAAGCCTAAATGTGGAGTTCATGGAAACCCTAACACCCCCACCAACTGTCCAAACAGGGATATTTGCAGCTTTGGTTCCGAAGTTATACCTAATACCAACCAGAAACCCACCATAATCGTCATCACCACCATCTTTCTCCAAGAACCCAAATGCAAAAACTCCATTTTCAGACACCCAATTCCCATTTTTGTCAAAACCAGAAATCTCAAAACCAAGAGGCACTGAGACCATTAATAACTCATCACAAAACCCAACAAAAGCAATACCCAGCCATAAAATCAATGCTAAAACACAATTAAATCTTCCAAAACAGTAGTGTTTTCCGGAGCTCATACCTTGAAAAGGTCTGATGGGTGATTCACAAAACAGGTGATGAAGCCCAGCTTCAAACATTTGAGCTGCAAAAAGAAAAAAGAAAAACAAGAAACAGAAGATTTCTGGGTATATCAGGTGTCACAGAGTAGTATAACACTGAAGTGAAGTAGATGAGGTGGGCTATAGTTAGAGAGTAAGTTATGAGGTGGATAAAAAAGTAGAGAGAGAGAGAGAGAGAGAGAGAGTGATGAACTTAAAAAGGAGGGTGTGTGCTTTGGGTGGGTGACCCTTTTCATGTGGAGGACTGATTCTGAGTTTGAATCTTTGGGGAACAAGATTTGGCAATAAGTGGGAAAACAAACAAGATTTTCAGATGCTTTTTGAGGAACTCGAGGTTTTAGTTTTCTCCCACTACAATATAGTCCTTCCTTGCTAAAGAAAAGAGAATTTGCTCTGCTTTCAATATAATTTTTTTTTTCTTGGATTAAGCAAATAGTTAAACATGCTTATCAAGTGAAAAGAAACAAAATACAGCCCACCTACTCTAACCTCATTGGATTGTCAATCTTTACACTATCAAAAATTTATCTGTCATGAGCTTATAAAAAAAAGGTTAAAAATTTTAATAATTTTTCAAACATGCAGACTTTATAAAATTAAAAAAAAATAAAAATAAAATATGTCAGGCTCGTTTGAGATATGGATTGATTTTTTGACTATTTTAACTTAGGATTAAAAAATCTCATTTGAAATAGACTTTTTGATTTTTTTGACTTTTGTGAAAAAAAAAATGAAATAATTATAATTTAGAGGTGATATTTTATCATATTAAACTAAAAAATTTATTTTATCTTTTTATGACTAAAATAATTAAAAAGTCAAAAAATCAGTTATGCCAAACGAATGCTATATTTCTTTCTTCTTTCTTCTTTCTTCTTTTCCAGTTAATGAAGTCACATACCTAATTTCTAAAGGGTCATGATAGATGCTATGACTATAAATAAACTAGCTTTAGGGTGTTAAGGGGGATCCAATGCAAAACTAAACTAGAATTATAAAATTAATTTAATTTTGTTTATGGATGATTTATACACTAAGGCTAAGTTTGGGAAGTCCCAAATAAGCCAAAAAGTCAAAAAGTTACTCAAAAAGTTAAAAAGTTAACACTATTCACCAAAAGTCAACAATTACGGCTGCACAACTCCCAATTCAAATTTTCCTCTACAAACCAATTTTTACAATTTTTTATTACACATTTTTCCATAAAAAGTCAAAAAGTTAACCCAAACATCCATATTTTCAATCTCAATTTTTTAGTCCAAAAAGACAAAAAGTAAGTCAGAGGAAACAAAGGAAAAATCAAACTTTGAAATTCTTGGATGATTCATACACTAGATGTAAAAGTCAAACGAATTGAATCATCAAAATAATATTTGTAGTGGATAAAGGGCACTAAGCTCTCTTAAGATTTGAATATATATATATATATATATCAAGTTTCATAAATTTGTCATAATTACACAGGGTCATTTAAAATTTCAATTCATACAATATAATCTTTTTTTCATTATTAGTATTACATTATCATCTCTTTTATATTGAACAGTAAATTTTATCATTATGGGTTATTTTGGAAAGATGGTAAAAAGTGATTTTTTGACTTTTAACCAAGCTTTTGGCTTTTTTAGACAAATGATTTGGGAAGTTGGTAAAAAGTGACTTTTGACTTTTTTGATTAATGTTTGTTTATGATGTCAAATCATAATAAAATGACCAAACTACCCCCATTTATGTAAAATATTTACGACTTCACCTATGTAACACATTTTGATCCATGAGGGTAAAATTGTAATTTCACCGTTGGCTAAAAACCAACTTCTCAAATGAAAAAAAAGACAAAAAAGCCAACTTTTGACTTTTGCTACAAACCAAAAAAAGTGACTTTTAGCCAACTTCCCAAAATAGCCCTATCTATCTCTATACCTACAATCCGTCAGTAAACATAAGTATATTTATGTAAAATTTACAAAATTTACTTTGGGTTTTGTGGAAACAGGGTTGTTCACTAGTAATATTTTTTAGATTAGTGCATTTGGGCGAACCACTTTTGATTGTGAAATGAAACCTCTCTTCTCTTCTCCACAACACAACACAACACAATACAATACAATACATACATTTTTTTTCCCTAGAGCTTGCAAAAGCATGGAGCACAGTGTCTGGGTCCTTACGGGTCCATGGCCCTATGTGCTCCGAAGGGAATCTGCACCAATGCATTTACTTTCTTTTAAATTGAGATTGTGATTTTCTCTATTTCATTTTATATGATGAATGGAGATTTTTATTTTATAAGATTGCAATATATTATTAAATTTAAAATTAATAATTTATAATTATTATGTCATTTTAAGTTTTGAAATTGAAAAATGGCTGGTAGCTCGAAATTAGTGGGCCGATTTTGACTCGAATTTGATTTTTTTTTTTTTTTTTCAGCTGGTAGCTCGAAATTAGTGGCCCAATTTTGGCTCGAATTCGATTTTTTTTTTTTTTTTTTTTTTCATTCGAATACAGAGAGAGAGAGAGAGAGAAGAGAGAGAAAAGAGGAAGAGAGAAGAGTAAGAGAAGGCTCGTCTTGGTTCTGCCGACGACGGCGGACGATCGTGTTGGTTCTGCCGACGACGCGATCGTGCTAGTTCTGCCGACGACGGAGGACGACGGCGAACAATGAGGCTCGTGCTGGTTTGCTGCTCTGTGTGTGTGGGGGGGAGTGATTTTGCTACTCTGTGTGTGTGTATGTGGGTTTGGATTTGATTTCAGACCCACCCTTCTTCTTCTTCTCCATTCTTTTTCTTCTTCCTTTTGCAACAAAAACGCAGGAAAAAAGAAAAAAAAAAAAGAAAAGAAAAAAGACACCAAAACAATGTCGTTTTGGTGTCGAACCAAATTTGAACATCCGAATTCGAGGTATGAATCGGAACTATTTGAAATTTTAACTTGTTTTTTTTTTTGGCTCCATTCTATTTATGGGGGAGGATGTGATGAGACCATATACGTGCAAAAATTAGGTGTCATATCTCCTGTCCTTAATCTCTCTCTCTCCTATAACAAACTCTCTTTCTACTGGAAAGAATTATTAGGAGGAAGTTTTTTTAGGACCCAAGAATAATAATCCCAAAATTAATATTATGTAATAATATCAATCTTTCTAACAAGGAGGCTTTTTTAGGACCCAAGAATAATCCTGGGGCTAAAATTTGCACACTGGAGAGAAGAAATAGAATGATGTGATTCTAACCACATTTTTATATAACATTTAGGGTCTACCACATTTTTATATAACATTTAGGGTCTATTTGGTAATCATTCTATTTTCAATTTATATTTATAAAAATTTAAAAAATTGTCATAAAAATTTGTTTAATAATTTTTTTGATTTATAAATGGTTGTCTCAGTTTATAAATTTGAGAAAAAAATATAAACTCAAAAAATGAGTTTACATTTTCAATTTTTTTTTTCAATTAATTTTTTTTCAATTAATTTTTTTTTTCAATTAATTTTTTTCAATTAATTTTTTTTTCAATTAATTATTTTTTCAATTAATTATTTTTTCAAATATTTTTTTTTCAATTATTTTTTTCAATTAATTTTTTTTTCAAATAATTTTTTTTTTCAAATAATTTTTTTTCCCAATTAAATTTTTTTTCAATTATAATGTGTGTGATTCGATTGTCATAAATAATAAAAATAAATACAATTATTTTAGGCCTGAACAAACATTTTTTTTAGTATATGTTTTTAAAAATTTTTAAACATTTTGTTCAAACCAAATGCGTTTATAATTTATGTTTTTCTAAAAATAAACAAAAACCAATTTATAAAATTTTTATAAACATAAACTAAAAACGTAAATGTTACCAAACGCTACCTTAATTTTTGTGAATCTAGTGAACAAGATTTCTCATCCAACATTATGAGATTATGATTTGTATGTTGTCTGTACTTTTAACAATGTAATAATGTTTTGGAACTCCATGACTTTGTACAACTCCCAAAATTCATTCATCCTAACAATGTATAGGTGCTCGCTCGAGCGGGGAATTCTTCGCTCGAGCGAGAAAGCCAAATCTGGAATTTCCAGATCTGCCTCCCAAGCTCAAACCAAGCATTCTACCACTCCAAACTCGACCTCTTGGGCCCAAATTCTGGAAAACATCACTAAATTCAATGTATAACAAGTTCCAAAGCTCAATTGATGAATTCAAGCCCCAAAGGTGAGTCAATTAAAACCACATTCAAACCCATTTTCAAGAACAACATTCAAACATGTCATGTATGAGTTTTAAACCAAATTAAAGCTCCAAAGCTTGATCAAATGAGCTCATTTCTTTTCAAACCAGTTGGAAACATGGTCTATAACAACAATATGAGCATGCATGCACTAATGTCCATGTAATCAACCTCAAAATGCAACAATACCAACATGCATGCAAGAAATGATCTTCAATCCATCACTAACGAACCAAATCATGACTTAGCTCTACAAATTAACATGAATCATGCAAGAATGAACTCAAGAACAGCAACAAGAAGATGGATGTCCTACCTTAGTCTTGTAAAATTAGGAGTGAGGGAGCTCAAATATGCAAATACACTTCAATTACCAAGCAATTCTTCAAGTTTCCAAGGAATTCAAGGTGAATTCACTCTAACTCCCTACCTCCCTCTCTCTAGTCGGTGGTGTGCTCAAAATGAGCTGATGAAATGTGTATGTGTGAGCATAATGAGAATCAAAGATGATCCAAGTAGTGGGCCACTTAAGTGGCAAAATGGTAATTAAGTCCAACTCTTTAATTAGCTTAATTTAATCTAATTTAATCATACCTAATCAATTTTCAGATAATTATACTATAAAATCACATAAATTATGAGGGTCACAAAACACTAATCGGTTTCAGATTCGGCCGCCGATAAGGCCTTCAATTAGCAGTTTAAACATATGAACATGAACAGATAATCATACAGTCAAACAGATATAATGCAATTAACTAACATATACTCAGTCAATTCAGTTCCAATTTCAGTCAGTCAGTTCAGTACTTTTAATCAGTTCAATTATCAGTCAGTTATCAGTCATTATCCGTTTCGTTTATCAGCAATCGGTGATTATCGGTAATCAATCAGTTCCTAATCAGTAAACAGTATGAGGGTTGTTACATGGTCCGAGCATGCAGAGTGACCGAGTGGCAGGGCTAACCACGAGGAGGGCCGACCGCGAAAGTTGGCCGAGTGGAAGGGTCGACCATGAGGAGGGCCGACCACGAAGGTTGGCCGAGTGGAAGGGTCGACCACGAGGAGGGCCGACCGCGAAGAGTGAGGTGGAAGGGCGTGGGGCTTGAGAGGCGGCGTGTCACGTGGTGATTTGAAGTGGAAAAGACAGGGTAAGGGGAGGAGACAGTGGATCGTGGTCGTACACGTGG